CGGCGGAGCTTGAGTAGCCGAGCAAACTTGGCACTGCAAAGGAGAGAGAGGGAGAGAGAGATAAAGAGGAGATGAATGGGAAAGGAAAAAAAACAGAGAGAGAGGAAGAGAGATGCCTCAACGAAAAAAGAGAGAACAGAACAAGAAGAAGGGGAAGTGAAGAGTCTGGTAGCAAGAGAAAAAGATAAGGGGAGAAGGAAAATCTCATTTTCACCTTTGGTTAACAAAAGTAATTTATAATAAGCCCACCTAAGTCATTGAATACAAATTTTGGCTAGGAAAAAATTCCATATAACCCCTGCCTTATCATTAATAATTAGGAAGTCCAAAAGCTAGTATAAAAGAGTTATAAAATTTTGATAAATTGCTAAAGTTAGGAATAAGCTCATATGTACCATAGATTTTAATTAATATTGGTTATATTTGAATTTATTTGGCTTTAAATTATGAATTGATTTATCTATAATTGATATTAGTTTTATATATTCACATTATAGGTTCTGGTTGATATTCGGAAGAATAATAGTTTGAGAAAGTCGTGACCACTAGAGGTGAGTTCATTTCTCACTAGTATTTTTACAATATATAATTGTATGAGTACATAGTACTATACCACTAGAGGTGAGTTCATTTCTCACTAGTATTTTTACAATATATAATTGTATGAGTACATAGTACTATGTTTGAATAATTTTGTGCTTTTCTCACTAGTATTTTTACAATATATAATTGTATGAGTACATAGTACTATGTTTGAATAATTTTGTGCTCAAAAAATAAATAGTCTATTATTTTTCGTGTATATGAAAGTTAAATTTGATTTCATCTATTTCTGTTGTGGTCTATCCTATAATACGATGTTAGACTCGTACAAGATATGAAAAGCAAATTTGATTTTATATAAAACATAAAGTGAATTTGGCTCTCATGTAGTTTCAAATAATTATGGGTAGTGCTTTATCTGAATGTTTTTGATGAAGTATTTTTGAACGTATTTCTACAGTTTATCGGATTCAAAGATTTTTTGTGACTCGGTATCTAATAAAAATAAAGAAAAGTAAAAAATCTGTAAACTGTTTTAACTAGGATGAGGAGTTTTACCTTGTCCACTTTATTTAAAAATATCTGTAAATTCTGATACACAAGATATTACTTATTTGACAAGTGATTCTCGATGTTTTTAAACCCTCTAAAAGTCCACTATTGAGTGATTATGCCTGCCATATGATGAATGTAACTTTATTTGGCCCCTCTGTATTGGCCCCTCTGTATTGGCCCTTCTATATTGGCACTTATGAAATTTTTTCTGGCCCCTCTATATTTGGCCAGAAACCTATGGCAGTATTAGATGCATTCGATTCCCAGAAATTATCTGTTATATGGTGCATTTTACGCATTTCCATGCTACTGGGCTATTATTTGTAGCCTTAATGTGACCAATGAGGTGACTTTCACATTCATGAATAACTCATCGAGAATTAGGATTCTGACAATTGACTGTGAAATGAAGAAAATAATAACCCTCTTGTTTTGTGTAAAATAGTAGTTCTTTATCTTTCTTAATGACTACCTTGATTTAAAAAAAGGTTTGATTCTATGAAATGTCTCAGTGTATTCCGTTGGACATAAGAAAGAAAATATAACTGTTGCATTCTTGCTTGAAAACGACAATATTATGATATTTGGATCGTATTTTGCTATTTTTGAATTTCTGATGCAAAATTTATAGTCATTATTCTGGAAATTATTCTTATTATTATTTTGTTAGTTATCTAGGAACTCTAATGGGAAATATTCTTACTGAGCTTTATCTCACCCCGTTGTTTTTAAAAAATTTCAGATCCGGAGTAGCTTCATTCTAGACGAACTTTTAGTTATGGCGTTTTGCTGAGAGGCGTTATATAGAAAGCCTCCTTTTTGATGTTACATACAGTCAACAATGTGCTTTATTTTATAAAATGCTTATAACGGTGAGCTGGTGGGTTGTAAGTGTAGGCATCAAAATTTGCTTATAAGTTCCCACAAAAAGCTCGAAGCTGAGAGAAGAGGATGAACGTCACTATCCGAGTCACGTAAGATTAATTGATGTCGAAGAGCGTATGAAGTAATTCGACAAACCGTGTGAAGTAACGGAACTTCAGAATAACGAGGATATGAACTGATGGGGAGCCGCACTTCACTGATAAAAAGACAAAGCACCCTTCATATCTCGTCTGCTCCACATATGATCCAACTATAGGAGCTTGTAGATCTCCTCATCGGCTTTCCTACGCACTTGAATCACGTAATTCCAAGTTCAGACGATAAATATATGGCAGAAATGGACAGAACACGCGAAACAATGTTCCAGGGCCTCGGTGAGACACCCATAGGTGTCTCGGCCTTAGCCGAGACACCCACAGGTGTCTCGGCCACTACCGAGACACCGCGGGCGTCCGTAGCCCCGAAAACTGATTTTTTATAGTTTCAAGCCGTTTTTCGATGTTAACCACCTGAATTTGTTCCAACTGATCTGAACCAATCCTAGAACGTGATAAAGTGATTATGAGTGAGGATAAGAGTGAATCAGTCATTCTTATCCAAAAACAGAGGTCCTAAAGCCTATAAATACAGCCCCAAGGTCTTCATTTTTTGAGATCTGGAATTCTCGAGCGTTGGCGAAACCCTGCTGAATTGAAGATTGAAGGAGCACGAATTTCAGAAGAGAGTAGGAGATCGGATCGAGTTCTTCAGTACAGATAAGAAGAGTTCGTCAGATCTACAATTCCCGATTCTTTTCCTTGAGATTGCCCCCATTGTGGTGATCTTAAGAAGAGTGATTATCTCGCTGTTACCGAGATAATTGCTTCGGTTTCTTGATTCCTTCGCGAATCAACAAAGCTCCGGGTCTGATCTGATCGTTTGGTGGTCCACGGATATTAACGTCCTCGTCACAAGCCAAGATCCCACGCAAGCAGCGGGAGATAAACATCTGTTGCGTTTGTTAAAAAGAAAGTTATAATCTTTTGTTAAAAATCTTATAAAAAGACTGTTTCTTTGAGTTTGTTGTAACGCCCAAAGTTGTAATGAACTCATCAACGAAATCAACTTTCTCCCCAAACAGTAAGTACCGATTATATATGTATATAGTTGCTCTGAACTTCTATCATCAGCAGATTTATGAATATTTTGAGATAAACTATGTGATATGAAGTGCCAGGCTTGACTCGTGCATAAGACGTGTCTCGAGCACGGGTTTCTATTGTCGCGTAACCCGCATTATGAATTTTTCGATACAATTTCGGGACGTGACTTTATCTATGTATAGTTTTTTAATTTTATTTTATTAAATTGTTGAGATTTAGGTAGTTCATGTGGGTTAATATAGGATATAATTAGTATTTGAATAGATTCATATTTAGATAAAATATTCAAAAAAATCATGAAGTTTATCAATCTTTTTTTTAATTATTGAGCTATAGGTAGTTCACGTAAAATTAGATAAGATATAATTAGAATTAAAACAGATTAATATTTAAATAAAATATTCAAAATAATGAACGGTAATAATGATCATGGAAAGCTTTTCCCGTACTCATGCTTTTAAAGGGAGTATGATATTGTAGATTATTAAAAATTAAATATTGCCATAGTGAGCCAATAATTGTCTCATTAACTAGATTTATATTCTAGGATCTTTATTAGACTTCTACGTTGTTTATATTTATTAAATGTACTTACTTCTGATAGTTCTATACTTTTGATTTATACGAGGACCTTTGATTATTAGGAAATGTTTGTCTCGTTTCATTCTCATTCCAAAGGCTAAAGAGAACAGAAATAAAAACATCGCAGCAATCACAAACTAATGTTTTACACCATTCATCAATTCCTTTATTGATACCACTCATACAAACTACAATAACTTAACAAACCTACCATCAGTCTACATTCCCTTCATTACACCATAATTCCGAAATTATAATGTGGGTTGAAGGCAATAGAAATCTGCACTCATACAACATCTTTTCTAGATTTACGTGGCTGGTGAGAAATTTGGACCTCAATTTGATGTCATCTTTAATCCTTCCGGCTGCACCGAAACTTTAAAGTTTGTGATAAGAGCTGAGGATTATAATTAATTATATAGTCTAACAATTTAATGAGGACTTTTACATACATATATTGTTTCTACCATTTGTAAACATCAACACTCTCTCTATGATATTAATCAGCATATTAGGACAAGTAAGCTGAGGAAAATGTCCAACTCCCTCTATGATCTCCATTCTAGCTTTCACCTTCATCTTGCTCTGCATATAATTGGCAACTGATACTGGAACAACTTTATCATTAGTGCCTTGGATTATGGTACATTGTACCTCTATTTTCTCCAAAATATCTCTCCAATCACTTAGAAATATGGCTTTTGCAACTGAGAGTGCAGTTTCAGGCCTCATCCCTAAAAAGCTCTTGCAGAATTTCTCGATAGGTACAGGATCACTTGTTGCCATTGCAAGAGTAGCGAAATTCCTCGCCCATGTTGTAAAATTTGAAATGATAACGGAAAAAATGTTTTCGACTTCCTTTCGATCAAATCCTCCTTTGTAATCATCTGAATTTAAGTACCTGTATAAATATCTCAATCTTGTAAAATTTCCATTAAAAAGAAATAGTTTAAATTTCAGATAAAACCCGTCTGAACTAATCAATAGAATCAGAAAACATCCATGTATTTGTGATTTACAAATCTCCCCAATTTACAAGACTGAACTACATTAATTTGGTACTTAAGTTGCACTTTATTAATCTTTTGACGAAACTACCATCATCATTATATTCTATCATTAAGAGCGAAGTTTAAAGTTTTATTTGATTTGGATAAATTTCAAAAATACCTATAAATTAAAGAATCAACAAATAGGTGAATCTACATGCATGTACCTATGAAATTTACTTCATGGGATTTTTTTTAAAGTACCCAAAGAAAGAAAGTAAAGGATAAATTACAAGAACTACTCTCTCTAAGGTATGCGGGATTAACATTAAAGAAAACCCTCATGAGGTTTCAAGATTGACACAGATCAAAAAAATGAAGGATAAAGTGCAAAAACTCTCTAAGGTACGTAAGATTAAAATAAAACCCTTCTGAGGCCTCAAGAGTGACAACTTAATCACTATATTTCAAATTTTACCAAATTAACTTGGATGGAAAATTATAGTGTCAACTATTTATACTCTCGTGTAACATAACATGTACAGCTATATTGTTGATAATTGTTTGAGTGAAAATCGAATGTGAAGAAAGTAAAATCTCACAGTTAAAGACCTTAGGAGCACTTTCTGTGATTTACCCAAAATAAACTACCCACCACTCCAATCTTTGTTAATTTAAGCTCTTAAATCTTTCTATCATCAGCATCAGACACATTTATCATGTATTATCCAGTTCATATATAAAAACCCTAAAGAACTACTAGCTGGTACTTTTACTTACCTAGGAGAAGCTCCAATGAGCACAAGATGACTAAAAAGATCAGGCCTCTTAACTGAAGCAATGCAACCGATCATACCAGCCATAGAATGGCCAACATAAACCACACCCTCCATCTTCATCTCATCTAACAAAGCTATGAGATCATCCGCAAAGGCACTAAGCGAAGAGTATTTGGTCGGATCAAAGGGAGATATCAAAGGGTCAACTGAGCTCGAGAAGCTCCAGTTGAAGAGAAGAACTCGATTGCTTTGTGATAAGCGAGGGAGCACATAATCCCATATGGACAGACTTCCTCCATAACCATGGGCGAGAACTAAGGTTTTGTCACCGTTGCCTACTATTTTAGCATTCATGGTGTTTAATTTTGAGGTTAGAGAAAGAGAGGCGATGCAACAAGAAGAAGCATTCAGGGTTAATATAGGAGTTTTGATTGATTGATTAAGTAGGTTTTCGTTATAATCATGGTTATGTTAACATTATGAGATGAGACAAGGGAGGTCTCTTCGGAAAAGGATATATTTGTTTGTGGTTGTCAAAAAGCTAGCCAATGGAGTTATCTGGCACAAGTTGGAAAGTGTTGGTCGATGTTACTTATAAGATATTTATCTAGTTAGGGATCCCAAGTGGTTCAAGAAAAACCTATGTCCAAGTTTTTAGCTGATGATAAGTGGTATACTGAAAGGTTTAGTACGTGATTCTTATTTCTAAGCCAATCAAATGTGCATTGCTAACGTTCAATTACGCTGTTCCAACTTCGATCACAGAAGTCACTAATTAAAAACAAATTAAGTAGATTGATTGATTCAGCAACTGTACCAGGATCGCGATTTGTAGGATCAAGTTTAGTCAAGAAACGAAAAAATTTATAATTTTTTATATGATTAGAAACTCAGGTGCAGAAATTCTAGTGCAAGCGACTACGCGTTATATCTGTATATATAATGAAAATGCTCTATCGCATATTTTCCAACAATGTTTTATGTTTAGAAATATTAGTAGAGTAAACCAAAACACGTCACGATAACAAATCGACTCCCTTAAAATGAATGTGAAAAGTGAAGGATCACGCAACTAGTCCAACAATATCAGAACTCTTCAATTGGAAAAGATGCGATTCGTCTTGTTCAGATATTGACAGGACCCCAATACTTCACTAAGAGTCCAAAAGGAAGCTTTTCTAGTAATTAAGTGTGCGGGTCCCTGCTAGAGGGTGACCCATGCACATGAAAACAACCCGCTGCCGTCAAATAAATGCTCTTCTAGATTTTATTGGTTAGGTTTAAATCCTTAATTCTAAAGAAGCTATGAATAAAATGAGGCAAAGGCAAAGGAAAAGAAAGAAGAGGGGAAAAATAATCATCATATTTGGTAGTTTAATAAAGGTAATGAAGGGGAATTATTTCTTAGTTATTGGATTTGTATCATAATAGCCCAAAATCTTTCACTTCCTCTGCACATCAATTTGGAGGGAATCAAACTCTATGAGTTTAATGGATGTAAACTTTGTTACCTCCCTTTCCCTTCATTCCCTATATATATAAAATAAATCTCAAACAAGGCAGACTTATTTACCTTCCTTCCCCTACCCCTCATTCACTCTCATCCAAATAGGACATTAAATGTGGGATGAATCCAAAAGAAGGTGTATATGTAGGTATGTATATATGTATGTATATGAAGTATTGCCTGCAATTCTTGCTAACATATGGCAAATCAGTCAAAACTAGAAAAGAAGTTTCATTTGATTATCTAAATTTTTCATATCTCAATACTTGTATATCAAATACAGTGATTATTTTTATATAGGCAGTTCAATTAAATATTTGCCCCCTAATCTAAAATCCACTCTATAGTAGTTTCTAATTTACTCATAGATTATATAGGAAATATTTTCTAATTGTCTTAAATAGCACCAACCCTACTTATAGAGTTACTTGTATTCTTATTAAGATTAAGAGCATTTCAATTATTTTGATTGAGAATTATCTCAAGAAACATAAAAAGACCTAAAGAGGATAACCTAATGAGATGAGATATAGAACTTAGAGGATATGGTCATTAATATATTCATAATAATTTCTCTAAAAGTCAAATTTTCAATCCAATTAATCTTCCTGTTAATCTCGTGAATTCAATGACTTGTCTTATTCTGGAAATAATTATGTACAACTTTTTTGTCACATAGCTAAACAAAGACAAATGCAAGAGATTGTGCAGTGTACCTGGCTGAGTCCCATTTTGAGAAGTAAACCGATAAGGACCACAAACTCTCTCTCCTACTATTTAGTGCACACCTAATACTTTCAACTGCCTTTTTTTCAGTTTATAAATGCTCGCCGACTCACATCATCTGTCAAACGTCAGCTTACAGTTGGGCAGAATGAAAACATTTTTGGGGAAATTTACTGTTTGGCTTCTGAGTTAGGGCAAGGAGAGGGGAGTTCTTACTATTAGAAGTCAAGAGAATACAAATAGAGTTACAAATAGAGTTACAAATCTCTCACAAATCTCTCACAATTGGATGCAGCAATCCTCTCCAAAAGACTGCTCAAAATCATCCTTACTTAACCCTAATTAATCAGCTTTAGGGTTATATGTGAACTCAGAAACGAACCGGGTCAAAAATTAAGACCCAGCCCAAAATCAATCTGCGGTCGACCGCGGTGGTGGACCGCGCAGGTCTCGCGGTCGACCGGATGAAGCTCGCGGTCGACCGAACACCCCCGACAGAGAACCAAAATCCTACAGTCAAACTCGCGGTCGATCGTGACGGTCGACCGAACTGATTTCTCGAGAGATAATCGCCTACAGGGTCCCCGCGGTCGACCGCCACGGTCGACCGCCTTCAGCTCCGAATCCCACAGGCCTTCGTACACTTTCGCAGTCGACTGCCAGTCTGCCTGGCTGATTCTTCTGCTATTTTCCTACACTCTCTCGCCATTTCTTTAATTCTCCACCTCGGTGAATGTTTCTACCAAAACTGAACTGACACCAAATTATCCAATAGACCCTCAACAAGTTTGGGAACCAAACTAGAGCTGAAACCTAATCTACCCCCATCTGAATCAACAGATCAAACCGGATGCATCTAAAAGACTGCCTACGTATCCTCTTGCCCAAGGAATCAAGCCAAAAGTAGTTCACCCAAATGACCTCCAAAAGGCTCAACACTGAAGAATGTTCAAAAGCTTCAAACAATGACCAAATTTCACTCCTGAAACAACTTTGGTCAGCATATCTGCAGGGTTGTCATTCGTGTGGATCTTCTCCAATATGACGTCTTTATCATCCAAAACGTCACGAACAAAGTGGAATCTGACATCGATGTACTTCGTGCGCGCATGATAAACCTGGTTCTTCGCCAAATAGATAGCTGACATGCTATCACAATATACCCGAATGGTCTCATGTGTAATCCCCAAATCCTCCAATAATCCACGCAACCACAAAGCCTCATTCACAGCATCAGTCACTGCCATATACTCCGCCTCTGTAGTAGAAAGAGTCACTATGGACTGAAGTGTACATCGCCAACATATAGGTGCATCTGCCAATCTAAAAGCATAACCTGAAGTAGACCGACGTTTGTCAAGATCTCCAGCATAATCTGAATCCACATATCCAATACAATCCTGTCTATTCTTCTCATCCTTCTGGAATACTAAACCAACATCCACGGTGCCTCGAACATACCGTAGAATCCACTTCACGGCCTCCCAATGACCCTTCTCGGGGTCGTGCATGTATCTCGATACCATGCTCATGGCCTGTGACAAATCTGACCTCGTACACACCATTACATACATCAAGCTACCTACTGCACTAGCACCTCGTACACACCATTACATACATCAAGCTACCTACTGCACTAGCATATGGGACCTTCGACATATAATCTCTGTCCTCAACTAAAACAGGTGACATCAACGCTGAAAGCTTGAAGTGGGAAGCCAATGATGTGCTAACTACTTTTGCATTGCCATCAAAGCTGAATTTCTTTAACATCTTCTACAAGTAGCTTTTCTATGTAAGTTTTAAACTCCCTTTCACCCTGTCTCTCTCGATCTCCATACCCAATATCTTCTTTGCCTCTCCAAGATCCTTCATCTCGAACTCGGATGACAACTCCTCTTTCAACTTTCGAATAGCCGAAGAATTCCTGAAAGCAATAAGCATATCGTCAACATATAAAAGCAAGTATATGTGCTCACTATCTTGTAGCTTGTGCATATAAACACATGGGTCATATGGGCTCCTCGTGTACCCATGGCCAATCATAAAGCTGTCGAATCTCTTATACTACTGTCTCGGCGATTGATTCAAACCATAAAGAGACTTCTTCAGCTTGCAAACCAAATCTTCCTTTCCTACAGCTTTGAATCCTAAGGGTTGTGTCATGTAGATCTCCTCATCTAAATCACCATGTAGAAAGGCTGTCTTTACATCCATCTGGACCAAATCTAAATCCAACTGTGCCACTAATGCTAATAAAATCTGTATCGACAAATGCTTCACAACAGGTAAAAATACCTCGTTATAATCAATGCCCTCAAGTTGTGCATACCCCTTGGCAACCAATATGGCTTTGAATTGAATGTATCTAATAGAAGATCTCTCCTTCTTCACATATACCCACTTGCAACCTATAGCTTTCTTACCCTTAGAAAGATGTGCAAGTGTCCAAGTGTCGTTCTTCTGAAGAGACCGCATCTCCTCCTCCATAGCTTCACTCCACCTGATTGAATCAGGGCTAGACTCTGCCTCCCTGAATGTTGATGGAACCATATCATCAACGACCTCCACTGATAATGCATATGCGACCATGACATCATTATACCTAGTTGGCCGACGAATTACTCTCATCGGTCTATCTGCTACAATGGACCCCTGAACATGACCCTGTTCTTGAGTCCTATAATCCATTGTATCCTCTATCTGTCTGGCAATCATCTCATCTCCTCCCAGTGTCACTTCTGTAGGAGCCTCGATGGATACAATGCTCTCTGGAGTGGGTGGAGTCACATTATCCTCCACCTGCTGCGATATCTCAACTGTCTGGTCTCCCTCCACCTGCTGAGGGACTCGAGACCTCATCATGTACGCCTCATCGAATGTGACATCTCTGCTAATAACTATCTTCTTGTCCTGTGGATCCCATAACTTGAAGCCTTTCACTCCATCTCTAAATCCCACAAAAACTGTTTTCCTCTCTCTCGGATTTAATTTACCATCACTGACATGGTAATAAACTGGACACCCAAATATCCGAAGCAACTCATAGTCACTATCCACTGAACCAAACCAACGCTCCAAATGAGTCTTCTCGTCTATCGCAATGCACGACAACCTATTCACGAGATGGCTCGCATAAACCAACGCCTCGACCCAAAAGGATCTAGGCAATCCACTCTGCG